GGCATGGAAAGTAAGGAAAAAACGTTGTCGAATCCAGCATGGCCTCACTAAGTCGGATTGACGAGCTGCGCCAAACCTGAATCACTGTTTGAAGGGTGAGCTCAAACCCATCCACCTATCAACATTGACAGCACGAACAGTACCCTGGCAAAGTGCGAAACGAGCACCGCCCACCCAGGGCACCCAGGGCAGCCAGGGCACCCAGGGCACCCAGGGCACTCGGGGCACAAGGGAGGAGACAGGGGGCACGCAGGGTCCATCACGCCAGACAGGTTGCCAAGTTGCCGCTCACACCACTGTCCTCCAGGCATCAAATCCTCATGCAGCGTCCCTCCCATCCACATGCCACAAAATCGTGAAAAATAAAAATGTCAAGGTCAAGTCACGCAACTCCGCCATTTGCTCAAATAGCAAAGCACCACGCAAACCCCTTCACAACCTTCGATCCACGACACTGTGCCCGCTCGGCACCGTGCCCGCTCGGCACGTTCTACCCTAAAGCGCACGCTCAACCACTTGCACAGTGGCCGCCACTTTCACAGTGGCCCCCTCCATGCCACTTGTACAGTGGCCTGCCACTTGAACAGTGGTCGCACCACCCGCCACTTGTACAGCGGCCGCCACTTTCACAGTGGCCCCCTCCCCGCCACTTATACAGTGGCCCCCTCCATGCCACTTGTACAGTGGCCGCCACTTTCGCAGTGGCCCCCCCCCCAACACACGACACGACAACGTCTCCGTCACGGCGTCACCTTCCTCAAGACAGGGGGTCAGGGTGCAATCAAAAGCAAATTCCATGCCAAAAACATGCAAAACCATGCACACCAAGCAAATGTCATGCAAAATTCCACACATCAAGCAACCGATCCATTTGATGCCGCGCGCTTTGAGGCACCCGGGGCCGGAGCGGCCACCTTGATCGGACGACCTTTCTTTTTAACCAGCCTAAGAACAGCAATCAAACCCAACAATGGCATCCTGGGCGAGGCGGCACATCAGGGAGGCGGTCGAGGCCGGATCGAGGGCCCGGGACACGGATGACGGAAGCCGTGTCTTGGGCTTGAGGCGGGGCCAAGGCGCCTACGCGTTGCTCCAGCGCGCGGACGGGAGCGTCACCAGGGCCGGGGAGGCCTACTTCGGCATGCTCGGGCGGCAGGCAGGACCTTCGACCCAAGGCAGCCGCTGGTCAGGGAGGGTGCGGCCGACTATGCTACTGCAGAACGGGCAGCGGGGCCTAGTGCGGCGGCTGCGGGAGGACGGCACCTACCAGCTGACGAACCTAGGGAGGCGGTTCTTCAAGAACAAGTACTCGCAGCACGTAGCACACATCCCAGTGCTCATCAGGCGGATGCGGCGGGCCGGCAAAAAACGCGGGCCGGGCTTACGAGCGCAGGGACTGGCTCCCCGCAAATGTCCTGGGTGGGGAGGCCTGTGCCGCGTGTCGTACCAGCTGCCATGCTTCAACAGTATCCTGGAATGCGCATTCGAGGACTCCGGGGACAACGCCTGCGTGCCGCGGCAGCTGGCTCAACTCCTGGGCGTGCCCTTCAAGGAGGTCTGCGGAGACTTCGACGCCCTTACGGAGTACGACTGGCGCGCACACGGCATCTCGCCGGTGGAGATACGAGCCTTCTGCGCGTGGCGCAACGCGCCCATGGTCCTCATCTCCAACACCGGCGAGCCCCTGGACCGCTTTGAGCCCGCGCAGCGGGAGACCAAGACCGTTGTTTTCACCTACTACGACGGGCACGCCTTCTTCTACCGGAACGCCCGGCCGGTGCTGGAGCAGATGGGCTGCGCGCTGGTCATGTACCGGCGAGACCCGAAGCAGACCGTGCCGCCGCTGGAGGAGTGGAGCCCGTGGCAGGGCGAGATCCACACGACGGACCTACGCGGCTGCTGCTGCTTGCGGAGCACAACCCGCAGGTCACGCTCCGCTCGCTCGCACAGTTCTCGAGCCTGAAGCTGCGCGCCAAGGGCGGGCAGCGCGGTTTCCGTGAGCTGCCCGAGGACTGGGAGCTGCTGCAGGCAACGCTGGTCAAGGCGCCGAGGATCACCCCGAGCCAGCGGCAGAAGAAGCTGCTGCTGGCCGAGCAGGGAGGCAAGTGCGCCGCCTGCGGGCAGCAGATCGGCGCCGGGTGCTTCGCCGGGCAGCAGCAGCGCTTCCAGGCGCTCTGCTTTGAGTGCCACCAGATGAAGACCGAGACCGAAAGCACGCAGCCCACGTCGCTGGAGTCGCGGTTCACGCTCGGTCTACGACGCGTACGTACGCTCTCCCAAGCAGCCTCCGTTAGTGTTCCAGGCGCGGGCCCCGGGCAGCGGACCGCTCGAAGGCGTGGACGTGGTGCGCTGCCGCAGGAAGGGGCTGGCCAACGCACCGTTCCCGCTGCCCATCTTCTGCCTGGCCGACAACATCGAGCCGGCGCGGCCCGGGCACCTCGCAGACCTCTCGTTTGTGGACCTGCAAAATCGGGCCCCCGTGACGCTGCTGCCCTACGTGGGGCCGGGCTGGTACCCGAAGGTCTCGGTGGACTACATGCTGTGCAGCGGCGTGGCGCAGTGGTCCGACGTGCTCCACACGATGGACGCGGCCAGCCACATCACCTCAAACGGCGCTGGACGTCATGGCATGACAGCAACAAGGCGTACACGCTGCGCAGCAGCTGGGACTTCATCACCACCCGCTCAATCCACAACAACGGGACGCTGCGCCCCAGCCACGACTGCGTGCTCGGCTTCGAGGCGACGATGGTGGCACGCATCCGACAAGAACTGGGCCTTCCGCCAAAGTACATCAAGCAGGTGAAAACGGACTGCGTGGTGCTGCAGGGCATGCCGCGGAAGTTCCGAGACACGGCTCGTCCACAACACGTACCCAGACGGTAAGCCCAAATTCCGCCACGAGGAGACGACGAAGCCGCTGCGAGGCAAGCACGCATGCCGCCAGCAAGGGCCGCCGGCTGGACGGACGTGGCCGACCCTGTGGCGCACTGCCTGGCCGGCCGGTCGCTCCTGCTAACCGGGCTGCCCGGCACAGGCAAGACGCACCTGGCGCGGATCATCGTGACCAAGCTGCGGGAGCGCGGCGAGGTAGTGCACCTCATCAGCAAGACCCACAGCGCCGTGCAGAACCTAGCCGGCGCGAAGACGGCCGACCACTGGGTGCGCAAGTACGTGCGGGGGGCCAGGCCAGCGTGCAGCCCTTGAAGGTGAACCGAGCCAGGTCGCCCGAACGGGTGCTGACGCCACTCAGGGGCATCTTGGGCACACGCTTGGTCGGGAAGCCGGCAATGAAGCTGTGGCGCAAGTAGCCCACACGGCCGATGTCGATGTTGCGCACCGGGGTTGTGAGGGTACTGCAGGCTGCCCACTTGGATGACCGTTTGCGTTTGCAAGTGTTTGGCCGACATGGCTGATTTGCGTCAGGTGCGATAAGCTGCGCAAACTAGGGCGTAAGTTGCACAACGCGTAACGTAACTGATCTAAAGCGTGCGTAAACCAACCAACCTTGCTTGCGTGCAATAGGCGGTTTGCTAACATTTGCCCCGAATTTACTACGTGCGACAACTGGCTGTTCTGTTTGGGTTCAGTTTGCAAATTATGTTTCTAAACAGGCTAAACTGAGCGGTTGCGTTTGGGCATTATAGCTAAACCAGTTTGGCTGGGTTGCTATCCTAGTTGTAACATGGGTAAATTGTTTTTTTCTCGACCTTCATGGCGGCCGAAATTGGAGGACGCCCGGCCAAAACACGATATAAGTGAATTGCGCGGTAGGCAAAAAACGAGCGCGCGTATTGCAGCAGAGCGCCAAGTTGCCTCCGAGATTCGTTTTTTTTTCTACAGCAAGCCGACGGTTGGTTGATGTTGAGTCACGCGTGCGTGTTGAACATATGTAGGAAACATGTATTTTTGCACTTGAGCATGTGATTGCAGCGTTGCGCTGGCCAGCGCCGTTGGGATGGCGCGTGCGAACAAAAGCCCATGCATGGGCGGGAGCTTCCTCATGGTTGATTTTGGGGCCATGTGAACTTGGTGCGTTTGGTTTATAAGGCCTTGCTCGAGGCCTTGCGCGCCACGCTTGCAGTTGGTAACCGGCATTGCCATGTGCGGTTTGCAACTGAGACTTTGACGTGTCCCGGGTGCTGCCTGATATAGGGCTGCGTGCATGTTTGTTGTTGGTGCCATTTTTTTACAACATGTGCCGATTGTTTTTACATCATGTCTTGGCAAAACCACTTGTTTTACCGGCTGGACCGAAACTCTGACTGCGAGAACAACATGGTCAAACTCATTAGGCTCACGGCAATTTTTCGAAACAAACACAATGAACAGCGAAAACTAAACAAGCTTGCAAAGCGGCACGCACGCAGCAGCCTGCACGCATGGCGTTGTTGGATTTGCATGGAACTCACACATGGCCTAAGAAGTTGAACTGTTATTCTGCCGGTTTCCGGAGGATGGGCGTCAAACAACAAAAGTTACAACCTTTTGCAAAGCCTTGTGTGTATGGGATGCAGGCGGGTGTGCTGCTGTCTGCAATTGTGCTTAGCCAGGTTTGCAACGTGTCAGATTTGGCAAGTCAGTCGTGTCTAAGGCAGTTTGGCAGGTGTGCGGCTAACGTTTTCAGGTGTGCTGTATACTGTCCAAGACTTAGACCGTCAGCGCTCAACTTGCCAACGGCTGTGTTGGCTAAGGTTGCTATGTGTGCGATCTGGTTGTGATTGCTTCAATCTGCAGGCCGGATATCTCGATAAACCCAACTATTATATGCAGGGTGGAGGCCGGGCTGTCGTGCGTTACCAGCAGTCTTGCATGCCTTATGAGCACATGTGAAACCTGAGATTATATGTCATGGTACGTGCAAAGCAGGGCAGATCGGAACGCTCGCTTATAGCAACTTAGCAGGGCTGTCAAGCTCGCATGCGCGCGTACAAGTGACTCGCTTTGTTTTTTGCAAAGCGTTGTGCTCAAGAGTGAGAATTCTGGAAGCTCTGGAAGACATGTCGTTGAGCAATGCTGCAAGAGAGGAGATTGAGGCCGCCGTGCGGCATGCGGAAGAGACTGGGCAGGTAGTTCAGGCCCACCATCAGTTGCTTGCAGCGTTGAAGAGACACGGCTTGATCAGAGAGGGCGTGCAGCTGGAGCCTGATCAGATTGCATGCTCGCCTCTCAACAGAGACGGGTTCGGATTGTCGGGGCCCGACATCCACGAACTTGTGGAGAAGGTGGCTCAGGTGGGATGGAATGACGGTGAGGCCAGAGGCATATGCCTGGAGTTGGCTCCGCACGACCAGCAGGTCATTGCCTTCAATAAGAAACTGTGTGAGGACAGTGGTGGCCTCATACCGCCAATCAATGAGATCTCAATGCGCTACGCCTCGCTGGCTGGGTCGCACACGAATGCGATGTTGCGAGCCTTGCGACATGAGGCCCTGCACCTGCAGAGTGGCCCGCTCTGCGTCGATGGCCATCTGAGCCTGGCCAGAGTGGAGGCCATTGACGCAGGCTTTGCAGAGGCGGCTCGTTGTGGGATGAGATGGAAGGTGATTGGTTTGGAGGTGATGTGCGTGAGTGGCGTGAGCTTGCGAAGGGGGAGCACGAATTTCAGATGCTCAAGCGGATCTTGTCCATGATCCAGGTGAACCAGAATGCTGAGTGGGACAAAGTCAAGCTTCGGATCTTGGCCTCGAAGCCCATGTGTGCCAGCGCGTGCCCGTATATGTTCACCTTCCTGATGCGCTTCTACCAGGCTGACCTCTTTGCCAGGGCCGAAGAAAGGGTCAAGCGAAGCTTGCGTACGGGGCAGCTGGGCTCTGACTTCTACGCTGCCTTGAGTGGCAACTGCAAGGACCAGTCGCAGCAGCACTTCTGTCAGGCGTATGCCTCGGAGAAGAAGATGATCGCCGCAGCAGATGTGAAGCGAATGCTTGTGGCTCAAGATCTGCAGCCAGGCATCCTGAAGGCCCAGGACCTGATGCAAAAGATGCGGCCGCTGGTTCGTGAGGCCGGCTTGCAAGCGCTCGAGGCGCTGGACAAGTTTGAAGACACTCTGGTCTTGATTGCTTTGCAGAAGGTCAAAGGCCTGGACATGTCCGAGGCTTGCAGCAAACTTGTGGACGAGGTGCAAGCTTTGACTGGCAAAAGGATTTGTGAGGAGTACGGCCAGCGCAGAGAGAGCTCTTCCGGCTCTTCCAAGGCCGAACAGTGTGCGCAGCACACCGAGCACCTTGCTACACTATACTCCGGGCTGTTTTGTTTTCCGCAAAAGTCGTCCTCATTTTTCCAAATTTCCGGGGTTATATGCAACCCTTAAACTGCTATCTCCTGCCAAGGCAAAGGGCTTACGACTCTGAGGGCGAGCTGCGAGATCAGTCTGTCCTTTTGAAGGAGAAAGGCTTCCAGGTGGGCTCCTACGTGGTCCGCAAGAAGGACAAAGCCCGCGGCCAGATCCGCTCTATGGAGAGCTCGGTTGTTGTGCTGACCATTGAGACAGAGTCCATCAGCGGTGTGTGCAAGGTGGCAGTGGCCAGCTTTTTGAGGGGGGACTGGAAGATCGTCAAGAAGCCCGCAGAGTCCCTTGAGTTCAGTTGGCCAGTGTACAAGGATTTTGCAGGGACCAACTCTAACCTGTTGCAGCTCATGGGAGTCCGCGGTCGCGTGGCGCAGGCCGTGCTGCAGGCAGGCAGAAAGTTTGAGCACACCATGGAGGGTTTGAAGCTTCAAGTGAAGCCGATGAGGAATGTCGTGTGCCAGCAATCTTTCCCAAAAGGGAAAATGGTTTTGGCTCCAAGCAGTCACAAGTTGGAGACCAAGCCTGGCGGCTTGCCTCTCGGTAAGATTGACGGAGTGCAGCTCTTTATCCACTCTTCCTTTTCCCCGCCAGGGAAGGACGGCAGCCTTGACCGCTCGGTGCTCTGTCCCTTCTTCATGGTGCGCAAGACTGACCAGGAGGAAGAGGCCAACTGTGTCATCTCCCCGATGTTTGGCGATGGCGAGGACAACTCTGCAGCGAAGATCCCCCTTATGATCAACCAAAGAGCCTTATCCGCTGGCGAAAGCCTCCTGCTTTTCTCGCCCAAGCCGGAAGAGTCTGAGCCTGAGGAGCTGAAGGTGGAGCCGCCTGCCCCAGAGCAAAGGCAGCGGAAGCGCCAGAAGAGCGCTCCTGGATCCGGCCGAGAAGAACTTGCGTGTCACGAAGCAACTTTAGAAAACTCCATTGTGGCTGTTTGTTTGCTTCATGATGTTTTTCTTCTCATCATGCCGGCCTCCATGCGTGGAGCCTAGAGTGTTGGATGGAATATTTTTTGATGTGGCACTGACGTCGCGCCAAGCTTGGAAACGCGCGGACAATTTGTCGTTGCCCGCTTGCAACTTGAGTGTGAGGCAGCGCATGTTGAATTTGGCGCGCGTTCAAGGAAGCGGCTGCAGGGCTTCTCATTCAAGCTCGTAGCCTGTGTGCAGGGCCCTGCTATATAGTGGCTCGCATTGCAGTGTGTGAATGTCCGCACGCGGTTCAAGCCCATCGGATGGAGACTCTGGCGATGAGCAGGCTGCCTTGAAGATCGAGCAGAAATGGGTTGTGACGAGCAGCGGCGAAAGGGCGTGGCTGCCAACCACCGTGGAGAAGGCTGGGGCGCCCTTCGTCAGGCTTTCCAAATTTGACCGCGGCTTCGTGAAGTTCTGTCTGAACAAGACCATGAGTTCTACCTCAAAGAAGGAGGAACGCAAATGTTCCGCACTTTGATGCCTTGCTGAGCTTGCGCAAGGAAGCAAGCATCCAAGCAGCATCGGCAGCCCTTGAAATGGAAGACTCGCTGCCAGAAGAATCCAAGGCAATGAAGCGCAAGAAGCGCAAAGTCAGAGAGGAGGATGCGCACCTGGTCAGCCCCGTCGTGACGATCCAGACCCCGCAGCTGGAGTGGAAGGGTGTCACTCACGTGTCAAGGCCAATGCGGGTCTTGTGGGGGCTCACGTCCAAGAACCTCTGGGTTGAGCTGACTAAGGAGAACATGACCTTCATGAAGAACATGGTTGCGTCAGGGCAGACGCAGTTGAAGCCACGGAAGCGCGCTTCGCCCAAGAAGAAAACGACCAGGCTGCGCAAGGGCCAAGAGGTGGAGTCTGGTGATCTTCCTGAACCCCCAGCCAGTGATGTTGAAAATTGAGCCAGGTTTGTGCAGCGTGAGCCGAGTGCGTTTTTTGAGTGGTGAGGCACGGGCGGCTGCAACGATCGTGAGTCGGTTGATCAACAAAGCAGTGTGCTTCTGCCATTTTAGGTGGAGAGTTTCTGTGTTTTCATTCCTGCATTGGTGTGCGCTTCCAGCTTGGCAGTTTTGTTGGAAACAGTTCAAAGCGAGCTTTTAGAAAAGCCCTGCTGGAGGCGAGCTATTTGAAACCCTGCCATGATTTGGGCAATTTAAAGCTAAGGCGCATGTGAAACCTAAAAAGGGGTTAGACAAAGACACGTTTTGTTTGACCACCCTTTTTGACCCCACGCCAAAGTGGCCCGAGGCTGAAAGCACCGCCAGACATGTCTGAAAGTCATTGCCAACCTGCAAACGGTTTGCATCGTGAGTTTGGATTTGTCCTGTGCTTTGTGGCTCGCAGGGGCGCAGCACCATGCGTGTTCATGTTTTCACATAGTGGCAGTGGTTGCATTGGTTTTGTTAGTTTAGCAATTCCAGTAACGCATGCTGCAGGAACTCCATTGACACAGCATCCCGATTGGGCACGACTCACTCCACTGCTTAGGGTTTGGGCTCAACCTCAACTTTCACTGTCATTTGAACCTAGTGTTTGATAAGGAAGACCCCAAAACTTTGTGTGGTTGCAGTTCGAAGAAAAAGAACATGTCACCGTACGGATTAAGGCAGCGCAAACCAAATGGCTATAGACATGACAGTAAGGTTTGATTGCAACATGGACATGCTCCCAACCAACCTGCACAACACTCTTGTTCTCATCAGGTTTCGCTTCAGTTTTTGGAAACCAACCAGGTGTTTTTTTTTCAACTGGCCGAATCCGGCATCGTGCGCACATGGATGTGCCTGCTCAAGAAGATGAACGCCACTGGACCCCGGGCGAGCTGCTGAAGCGGCTGGTTTTGGATCCGAAGGAGGAGGACCGGCCATTTGACGCATGCAGTCATGTTCACATTAGGGTTTGGGGTGCTGCTTACATAAGGACATGTTCAGTTTAGGGTTTGGGGGTGCTTCTCACACAAGAACATGCAATTGCAGTGCGCTGCTGGAAGAGCTGCTGAAGCAGGAGGCGGAGCAGGATTGCGGAGTGGAGGATGAGCTGGAACAGCCGAAGGAGGAGGCGCTCGCGGAAGAGAAGCACGCATGTGGGGATCCCGAAGATGATCCTGTGAAAAGGAAGAAAAAGAAAAAGAAGAAAAAAAAGAAAGAAGATGATGAAGATGATGTCGACGTTGAACATTTGTTGCAGCTTGTTGAGGAAGCGGAGCTCGTGCGCATGGAGGAGGAGGAAGAGGATGAGCTCATGCAGGATTCGGAGCACGAGCCGCAGGTGGAGCACGAGCCGCAGGTGGAGCTCAATGAGCCGCAGGTGGAGCTCAAGGAGCCGCAGGTGGAGCTCAATGAGCCGCAGGTGGAGCTCAATGAGCCGCAGGTGGAGCTCAAGGAGCCGCAGGTGGGGTTCAAGGAGCCGCAGGTGGAGCTCAAGGAGCCGCAAAATCCCAAGGAGCCGCAGGTGGAGCCCAAGCCGGAGCCGGGAGTTCGCCCCACTGCAAGCGCGGAGTACATGGGCAGAGCCAGGCCCGCCACGGTCTTCACCCAGCAGCACGCTGCGCGCTGGAGATCCGGAGCCTGGCCATGGCAAGGGATGGCATGGCAGTCGAGACCGATCGCGGTCGGGTGGCAGCGGAGATGGCAAGGCTGGCCCTGGCCAAGATGGCAAGGCCGGCAAAGATGGCAAGGCCGGCGACGGCAAGGCCGGCAAAGACGGCAAGGCTGGCAAGGCCAAAGACAAGGCTGGCAAGGCCAGCAAAGATGGCAAGGCTGGCAAGGGCGGAAAGCACGCCCAGGATGGCAAGGACGGCAAGCGCGGCAAGGACGACAAGCGCGGCAAGGACGGCCGGGATGGCAAGGATGGCAAGGATGGCAAGCGTGGCAAGGACGGCCACGCTGGCAAGGACGGCAAGCGTGGCAAGGACGGCGGCAAGGACGGCGGCAAGGACGGCATCAAGCAGGAGCTCAAGGGTGGCAAGGCTCCAAAGCCGTGGTGGGCATCATCAAAGCCGAGCCAGGGCGAGAGCAGCAGCATGGAGGGCAAGACCGACAGGTGGGGTGGTCGCTACGTGCCTGACTGCCGATGGGCAGTTCTTTCCGCTAGGCATGTCTCGGTCTTGTTGGCTGAGTATTTGAGGAGTGTTTCTTTTGGCTGCATGTGCGAGCGAGCCGTCATGGCCCTGCTGATGCGAGTTTCAAAGAAACCCTGCATGTTGATTTGCAAAGCTTTGGTTTGGAACCTTGCGCTGTTTCCGTCTTGCCCAGGTTTGGCTACGGACGCTCGAGGGCCCGCTCGCGCGGTGGCAGCAGCAACGTGGAGATGGTGAGGTGGCAGGCGGTGAGGGACCTGGCGGCGGTGGCCAAAGCGAGCATGGGCAGCAGAGTGAGAGATGCGTAGGCTAGGTTGCGCCAGTCGTGGAGTTTGACAAGAACACATGAAACTTGCACATGCGCGTGCATGCTTCAGGCTCCACGCCACGCACAGGCGAGTCACTTAGAAACTGCGGCAGGATTCACGGCCACAGCCAACATGGACATGTCCAAAAAATCACGAGCACGACTCCAGCCGGCAGATCCGTCACAACAAAGGGCGCGCAGGGCATCACTTGTTCCAAAACCCTAACACACACCTCAATTGTTGTTCAACAAATTTCCACATGTTGGGTTTCTCAGAATTTGTTGTTCAACAAATTTCCACATGTCGGGTTTCTCAGAATTTGTTGATCAACAAATAAAAACGCCAAATATTTGTTGAACGACAAAACAAACACTACCATATTTATTGAACAACAAATTCCAGGATAGTGCCTAGTCCAAGATTTGTTGTTCAACAAATGTTTGAGACACCATGTTTGAGAGTTGTGTTTTTTTTAGCTACCCTGTATGCCCATCCCCTAAGTGCACGGTTTCACCCTCGACTGGAATTCACCTCCGTCCGCGGACGTTAAAAACATTTGTTTGCCTGCTGCGTGAGGTTCTGGCCAGGGCTTGGTTGATGCGTGTGTGTGTGTGTGCTGTTGCAGTACATGTGAAGGAGTGCGCAGTGCTTGACATGTCACGTCGAACTTGTTTGTGTGGCGGCAGATCCTGACTGGAACATGTTTAACCCGTACTGGATTGTGGAGCGAGCTGAAGAGAATGCGTTTGAGGGAGGATCTCCCCCACACACACATGCAATTGGTTCAACTAAGGGTTGCTTGAATCAATTAATGGGTGGAAATGAGTTTGAGGCAGGTGACAGGAGTTAAAGGGCCCACAGGTGTGGCAAGGAAGTTTGAAAATAAGGGCGTCACAATTTGGGGTCCAACACTGGCACCCTGAGAGGCTCGAGTTTAACTTTGGTGCTCAGCTGGGGAACACCATTTTGGTTGTGTGCACAAACCATGTTGGGCGCGGGTTGGGAGTGCGTTGCATTGGGCGTGTGTTGGATGTGTTTGAGCTGTGTTTTCAGTGAAGCGAGCCACGCACAGGCGAGCTTCTGAAAAGCCCTGCCTTTTGTAGCGAGCTGTTGCAGCCCTGCTTGAGTTTGGCGTCTCACATTGCTTGCATCAGGTTGAGTTGGTAATCGTTTGCAATCGAATTTGGAGTGTCCAATCAATCGCACGCACGTGGTGTACAGTCGGCCATTGGCCCGACATCACGTTCTGGAAAGGGTTCATGTGCTTGACATGAACCAATGCAGGGCGTTGTGAGCGCTCGCTGTGTGCTTTGAAGCAGGGCCTTGCCACAGAGGCTCGCTCAGTGACCCTTCACCTTTGTGTATCGGTGTGCCGCCATGGAGAGCTGGCAGTTTAAGACCGACCTGTCAGAGGACGAGGCCAACTGGGAGAACCAGACGCTGTCTGATTGGCTGCTGCTTGGGCCTGCTGCCTCGCGGCGGTGCAGCCTAGCCTTCGTGGGAGAGAAGTTCTACCTCACCACGTCCCCCTGCGTGGCCTTCAAGTGGCAGGTGATGAACGTGGACGACAGTGGCGTCATCCTGAAGCGCCCCAGCAAGACCGGCAAGGAGACCTATGTATACATGATGACCGC